ACGTTTTTTCATGTTGCATGATTGGTATTAAATGTACCACCTTTTTTTTTATTCACAGTATTTTAAATGTGGATATAGAAGCAAATTATCTTATGGCTTTGTAAAAAAAAAAATATCTGTCACTGATCATTTTTTTATAATTTTGTATGCAACATGGCACATCTTGTAATATTCTGGCTCACTTTGTGTTCATGGATTTCCTCCACAATGTCTGTCTTACATTTTGGGGATGTTTATTTGACATTGTCAGTGTCTAACATTTTAGGTACTGGTTTGAAGAGCAGAACTAATTTATTAAATATTGATGTTATCAATATCAGCTTGACATCCCTGTGCTCTGGATTTCTGATTTAGCTTTGTGTGTCTGAATCATAGGCACAGACTTAATTTCTGAGCCCTAAGTAAGACAGTAAGACACTACCAGAGATGCTTGTTTGAAGATGTTGTTGTAGTGTATGATATATATATATATAGTTACACTATTTGAGCTGGGCTTTAAAGTCCCCCTTTAAAAAAAGTATAAAGCATATATAAATGTCGCACAGGACAGGACCAGCTAGTTGCCATGATGCTGGCATAATTTGTATATGCCTCTTTTCTGCTCTACACACCTGTTCGAAATTGTCACAATACCAACTTTAACTTGAACTGTTTTTCAGTATGTTCAAAAATAACACAAAATAAATAACAATAATGTTAAATGAAACTTAAAAAGAATCCCTTGACTACATTAAAGTGTATCTAAATCTAAAAACAAAATGTTTTTATATTGCAGCTTACCAGTCCTTAGATGTGGTGGTTGCATTAGTTTCCTTTTATTAGGCTAATTTTCCCTTTATTTTCACCTGGTGATACTGCAAGTAACAAACATCCTGTCCTACGGTAACAACGCTCACTTATTGTACTGCATCTATAGAGATGCAGCATTGTCACAATAGGCTGTTCTTCTGATTTGGACTGCAAATACCTCCTCCCCTCCTCATCTCTAGTACATAAGAGCAGGTGGTATGTAGTCCACAAAGGGCAGATGGGAAATCTGATAACACTGTTTGAGATATTAGTTCAGCACACAGGAATTTAAAAGCACGTTCTAATTTTGAGCAGATATTTTTCTGTATTTGCAGAAAATGTACCGAAAAAGAAAACAAATACAGCTACCATATCTAAGGACTAGTAGGTTGCAATATATTGAATATTTAATTTCAAATTAAGATATCCATTAAGCATTTAAAGGAAACCTGTCTTGAGAGATATACAAGGACTGCCACTAATGACCTCCTGAAAATAATAATTGCCTGGCTCTCATGCTGACTCTCTGGCTTTAGTACTTCCTAAATCATGGGACACATTTGCATCTGGTGAAGCCAGTGTGATGTCTAAACTCCGAATCATCAAACTGCTTCAAACCACTGACTTAGAAATCATTGAAGCCAGAGGATGGAAGTAATAACCGACATTTGTTCATCTCCTCCGATAATTCTTTATTGAAAAGACATCACGTACACACAATACAACTTCTGACATGTTTCTGCTTACACGGCCTTAGACTTAGCTGCTATGACTAAGGTCGTGTAGACAGAAACGCATTATATATGGTTATATTGCGGGTACAGGATGTCTGTTTCAGTAAAGAATTGTCAGAGCCAGTGCCAGTCATTACCTCCGTTCATTGTATCTAATCCTGACACGAGCGATTGTGTCCATGCTCCAATGATGGGGTGTGGGTGAACATTAGAGGATTAGCTGAGTGTACTTTATTCTGGATTAAAGCTAGAGGGCCATCTTCATTTTCTAGGAAACAAACATTTTAAAGGGAGACCAGCAATGGGAGTTTCCATATCTCTTTCAGTACGGCTTTCCTTGAATATTTTAATAATTGTATGACATCCAATAGTTATTGATGATGTAGTATGTGACCTCTTGCTATTATGGCACCTTCTATTAAGAAAGTGGTTACATATATGAACAACAGATCTTTTTTTTTAGGTTTGAGTTATAATGAGCATATAGAGTCAAAGTTCCCTCTACTTTTTACTGACTGCTCATTCTTTGATCTGGATATGTAGCATTGCTATGTCTGCAGGTTACAAGATAATGAAGGAGACTATACATTAAAAGGGGTCACAAAATAACCTTAAAGAGTATTGATGTAAAAATTAAACTTCTATTATGCTACTCAGCATATGTACTTAAATACAAATTAGATGCTTATTGCTAGGTTATAGAACCTCCTCTCAAAAAAGGTTCATTTGACTTGTCTATTTGACTAGGTAAATGCCCCTACTTGTCACTAAGGCACTCTCATTCACCTGGGGAATAATAGCTCATAGTGCTTAGTTCTCAAGTGACAGTGCCACTGTTGGCTTGTACCCCACCTACTGGCATGTGTATGCAGATTCACAGTTAATGACAGGAGGAACGCTGCAGCCCTAAGCAACTTTAGCCAGACATGAGCAAAACAAAGGATGCTGGATGCTGTAGTTCAGCATTGCTAATGTACATTAAAGCATGATGTGAAGATGTTGAACAGATTTTCAGCTGAAGAGAAGTAGACAGGTGGGATGGGAGAGCAGAAAGAGTATTTCCATTAAGAAAAAAAAAAAGCATTTTCAAGTGAAAAACAGTCACAAATCACCTCATATGGTAGTAAAGGTCTATAAAAGAAAAAAAAAGACATCAGCTGGGCTTCAATGTCAGCTGTGCTGTATATCAGTATATGGGGATGTCAGACTGCATATTAGCTGTTTGCAGTGAAATCATGTAAAAGTGTCAAAGGATTTATTTAATTGTAATCTCGATAACACAGCATTGTAAATGTATTTCCCACCTTTGAGTTAGACCAGAGTTCTTCTTTATTCCCATTTTTAATTTTTATCCTAAAATAATGTTTGGGTACAATTATTTATATTATTATTATTATTAGTTATGACAATAATGGGACAGCAAGACCATGTTTTTCCTTCCATTATATTTTTTGTATAATTCTTCTGGTAATGCAGCTTTGGCCAATAGGCATATTGATGTTCCTATTAGTGTGTCTACAGAAGGAGCACTGCCAAAATAGTTTAAGAGTAATTAATTTTAGATGTAAAAAGTACAAAACAAATCTGCAATTTTAACACTATGGGATGATTTATAAATCATCTGCCAAGTCATACACTGGGCAATTGCTGTTCAAACAGCATTCCTTCCACCAGACAGAGGAAGCAGAATTAGAGCCTTAGCACCCATGTAGGGATAATAGTGTACTTATTTATGTGATCCCAATATGATAAATAATGCATAACTAAAAATAGGAATTTTTAAGGACAGCCTTAGAAAACAAAGAAGATTGCAAATATACCTCTAAATATGTGCAATAATATTTCACTAAGATAATAATAACAGATATAACCAGATATATCCCATAGTCATTAGTTGTGGGTTGTCTGAAGGCAGTGCAATCCATATTTTTTTAAAACATATTGCACCTTTATACTTTTCTATTATCCACTTCTGTTAATATGAGTGATGTAAAGCAGATCTGGCATGTCATCTCTGCAAGAACATTAAACCTGAACTCCAGGCAAACAGGTAAATACACAGTGAAATGGATTTAAAAAAGAACAGTTTTACTTGCCAAATGATTTGCTGCTGCAGTTAAATAATCCTTACAGGCCTTATACCCCTCTACCCCCAACATGTCAATGGACAATGAAAGGAAAGCAGTACACTGCTATAGAGCTTATGTGCTAACAAGGGAGATCCTGAGAGGACGACAGACCAGAGTGACAGGCACTGCCTGTCACTCTGGTCTGTCGTCCTCTCAGGATCTTCCTTGTTAGCGCATGAGCCCTATAGCACAACTTGATGGCTCCTTGTGCTGCTTCTTCCTCTTCCAGTTTCAGCTCTGCAGTACAAGGGACTGCAAATGGCTGATACTATGCCAAATTCAAGTACTTACAGTGCTTGCATTAAAAAAAAAATGCCATTAGGTATTACCAAACATAGAGTTGCAGTAATCTGTGTCATTTGTCTGCCTGAAGTTCAGCTTTAACTGAAGCACCAGTCATTGTTTTATTTTAATAAAGGTAACATCAATGGGTGCAGATAGCACTCTCATTTGTTTTTGTGTTGTGTATGTAAAACAGTGTACCATAAATCCAACATGAAAATGGAATTCCATTAAACTTCTGTAACAAATGCTGATGTTACTGACTTCTGGTATGTTTTGATGATGTAATGGAGACCTGAATTGATATAATGCTTTCAGTGACTAGTTAACATTGTTACTCCAGTACTATTGAACAAATTAAAAGAGGAACAGGAGGGCAGATTTTATGTTCTGATGTGCTCCATGGCATGTGCTGATAAATCCATGTGGTTGACTTTCACCTTGTAAAAGAAACCAGCAATAATGTACAGTAAGCTATTTTAACATATCTAATATGTATGCTTTGCTTAATAGAAATATTGAATAGATAGATAGATAGATAGATAGATAGATAGATAGATAGATAGATAGATAGATAGATAGATAGATAGATAGATAGGATAATCTGGTTCTATAAATAATATAGCAAGTGGAATGTACTATTTACAAATGCAAAACTAAAAGGCAAACATACCAGTGCTGAGGAGAAATCAAAATTCTGTTTCCTTTGTTTTAAGTTCTGCTTTATCATCTTTTATCATTCTACGTCCTTAGGTTTCTTTCTTCCATTGACATTACAAGCACCTATGTTAAGACATTCTTTAAAGTCTTAGTAATGTTTTCCTCATCAAATCATGAAATACCCTTTTGTTATATCTCTTCTTTAACACATAACATGTTCCTCCTCTGACCCTCATTTTCCCTTTTTTCTCTTTCTCTCCCCACCTTCCATATGTCTGTTCCTTTTGTTGACCAATCTAACCCAACCCAACTTTGTTTGCTCCTCCTATTCCATTCCTTTCTTCCCAAAATTATCCTTGCTTGACCATCCCAACCTATTTGTTCCTGTTCCTCTCTTCGTTTGCAGCTTAGAGATGGCTAAACTGAGCACCCAGACTGCTTCCGTCACGACCCCTGTTGACCTCAACATGAACCTCTCTCAGTCTACCACCCCTTCCTCCACCCCCACCTGTATGGCTATGTTGGCGGCAGCTGCTGCTGCCTCCGTGGTTAACGTCAATTCCCCTCCCCCCCTACCAACTTTACCGACCACCCACTATGCTGTTCCTGTCTCCAGTCTGCTTGGCATGAAAACTGTCCCACTCCTGGCATTAAATGCAGCGGCCACTGCGGGGGCCACTGGGAATTTACCTGCTTATACTGCCAAAATTCCATCGACGAGTGGGGTTAAGAAATCAGACCGACAGAAGTTTGCTCCATATTGAAGGCATGAAAGCAAAGCTCTACCAAGATTGTGTGGTAGATCATTCTAAAGGAAACAATATGGCATTCTTATTTTATGTTTCATTTTTTTTTTATGTTAAATTGCAAAGTGTTTATTGTTGCTGATCAATTTGTCCTCTTTCCATGGCTATTAACCCAAAATAGTAACTAGTTCCAACAGCCTATGTTTTTTTCACTTCTATAATTTATTTATTTATGTTGATGTTATGTATCACTCTTGTTTCAGTTTAGTTCTTGATTTTTTTTCCTTTGTGTTTATCAGTATTTTTAAAGGGTGGGATTGGAGGTGAATGGATAAAATGACCTGGCATGTTTGCCTTATACAGTATTTGAAAGTATGACACATTGCTTTTTACATGCAAATATTATATATAACAAAATAAATAGTGTACTCCTGCTTCCAATTAATACAAATATATTCATTTAATCCAAATGATAGTGGAAATTCTCAGGAAACCATGGTCATTTATATTAAAGGGTATCTGTTTTGCAAGGCAAAATACCTGCCATTACTCTCAAATGATTTGTTGTTTCCAGGCAGTGACCTAACTTTAGGGAAATAGGAAAGCTTTACTCCATGGGACATCACTGCCACAGAGCTAGTATGCAGCCATGCAATAGAAAAATTATTTGGAAGTAGTGTCAAAAATTAATGTTCATCCTTAAAATGAGGTAATGCATGTACATTATTGTATCAGTTATTACAAGGAAGCTCTGACTTGCAGTACAAGACCTTCTTGGACATTCATCTTGAAAAAGTCATTCTTTTCAAGGGTTTTGCACCCTTTTCATCAGGGTCTGATTTAACAGTTTTGACAGATCAGCTCTGGTCAGAAGGTGTTAACCTGCCTTTCCAAACATTTGAATGATGTTATGGTAGAAACACCACAAACACTTTGGAGGTGACTTTTTAAAGGTAAATATGCTGTTCACTTTAAGCCTTAGCTTAGTGAATATGGTGAAAAATCCCTTTGCAAAGAATACCCAACCATGTGCAAGGAAAAAAACATATTTTTGTTTGCACATGATTGGATGATAAAAGTCAGCAGAGCATTACCTCATTCAATAAGCTAAGAGAACATTGGCTTTTGTAGGTCCAGGCGTCTTTTGTGGCAACAATCTTAAGCATTTTTTAGTAAATAACTGTCTACAGGTTTAGCCTCCTTTCAAGGAAAAGCTCTTTTTTTTTATACTGTGGTAGTAGAGTTCCCCATGCCATTTGATTTATATGCAGCCTACAAGGACCTTTGGTTAAAATAAGCGCTCATGGAATAAAAGCTTTTGTCTTCTTCTCACAGGTATTTTGCTGCATGACAGATTCCCTTTAAGCTGGCCTTGCATCAGAATATGAGGTCTGCTTGTTTAGATCCCCGTGTAAAAATTTTGCATGAAACATAAAAAAAATCCTACATTAGGAGAAAAGTTAACCCACCGGCTTCCACCTGCAAAACTTAGGCAAGGGGGACATCATAGGCTTTTCTATAAAATTTTGAAAAAGCTGAAGATTCCTAATTAGAAGACGCTTCAGCACTGCCTATGTTTAACACTTTTCTCCTAATGTGATTATTTTTGTTACTTTATTCGCTCATCTATACATGGGGGTGAGTGTCGAAAGGATAAGGGGACCTTGAATTTTGTTCATAGGTCTGCTTTAAGGTCAGGCTCAAACAGAAAATCAAGCATATAAAAAACATTTTAAAAAGCAGAGGTTACAGTAAATTTGATTTACAGATCTTTTATTACATGATGACTAAGTACACTTTTTATGGTAAATTAAAAATGTCACATATTTAAAGTTTAATATAGAGCAATATTGTTACATTCATATGCGCAATAAAACACCTAACTTGCCATCTAGAAGTTAGTTGTGGTAACACTTTGGGCTTCTACTATATCATATAAAACATTGGGTATGTGCTTATTTTATTTAAACATCACAACTTAAGCTCTAAAATTAAACTCATCCAAACACTCCTTTGCTTTTACATGAGATGACTGTTTTTCATACTCTGTATTACTACTTGTCCTTCCAAAGAACACAATATAAATTGTCTTTAATTAATTGCAAAATATGGTTACTGGGGCAAATATACAATATGTGACTAATTAAATCCTTCAGGTGTATAAAGCAGCATGCTTTTCTGTTTTGAATAACCAAATGTGGTATGCCTAAAATAGGCCTTTATCTTTGGGCAGAATCTTAAATATTATATAGTATTAGGAATAAGTCCTTGCACTTATTTCACTTATATAGTGTAGCCTCTAATGATTAAAGGATTAAAGAATCAATGAAATATTTATTAGAACACGTGGTATTATAATGCAAATAACAATGTGTGTAGACAGACATGGCATGGGCAATTGGTGTACAGTTTATACACTAATATGAAAAACTATTTTAATATGATTATGTAAATAATTTGCTTTGTCATATTTAATGTAATAAAAGAAAAGTAAAACACAATAGCACTGAGAACCCTGAATTATTTGTATCATGGTAGGTTACTTCTCTACCTCTTTAATGCAAGTGGATAAGGGTTACTATTACATGGGCCATTTCTAAAGTGGGTGGCCTGTTCTAGATTAGCATTGTATCTATGTTTATGCAGCAGACAGTACCAAGGGTTGAGCTTTCATTTAAGGTTCTATTCACAGAGATAAATACTGAAAGACCGAAAACACATCTAAGTATAAACACTCACAGCCTTACTAAAAAGCTAATGTTAGAATTTAAGCAATCAGATTTCACTCTTCTAAAAACTGTCCTGTACAAGATAGATTGTAATTGGTTGCTATGGTTTAGTGCAATTATAATTACATATTTATGAAAAGCTTTGAATAATAGACATGGCCATTGCCAATGATACCAGGTGGGTGAACACAAATTCAATCTAGTATGGATCAGTTCATAATCTTCAAATATTGTCAGCCCAACCCAGTTTCCTTTCTTTACATTTTTTCTTTTTTAAGATATAAAAGTACCCCATCACCCCCGCCCATCTGACTCAAGGAAGATAACTGCCTTGCATGGTATCATGTATCCACCAGCAGTGGCCTGGTGTTTTAAAAGGAAGAGGACCAAAATATAATGTGTGGCCTCCTATCCCAAAACAGTAACCTGGTGTAGATGAAGTTGCTCTTCTGGACTTCACTGAACCAAAGTAAAGTACAGGAGTTGAACCTGTTCACCGATAAAGGAGAAAATGCAGATGAATATTTGAAAAAGAGAGACACACACTACCGATAAATAAGGTTTTAATTAAACTAATGAAAAAATCTAGTATTTGTCAGGTGATTATCAGTCATGCAATTGTGCTACTAAAATCTCTATTTGTACAACTTTGATTTTGTTGTGAGAGATTATCAGTAGCACGACTGAGTGTTTGATCTTCCATGATTGGACAATGCCACAATTTAGTCATGTAGCAGAAACTATTAGTCTCCTCTTTTCTCGTCCAAATACTTCAACATTAGCCATGCAACCCAATCATTTATTTAGAATATTCTAAGGTGATTTATTCCCATTCAAGTATACCCTAAGGGGCTAATCTCATACCAGTCTTCCAATAATCTCCTGCAGTACCATAAAAGAGTATCTTTTGCACTAGTAGATTTTTTGTAGTCTCTAAGATCAAAAATAGCTTTTGTAGCTCTAGACTCATGTACATTGAAATTGACTTTACTTTCTGTCCCTATTTTGCCCTGTAAAAAAATATGTCACTGAGTAAAATTGTCTTGACTAAAGGTTCCCCAACAGACAGCACCAATTTTGGCCTTAATAAATATCACAGTTTTGTTCAGGGTCAGGGATGCTTGTAGTTTCCTACATGTTGAATGGACCTGTGCAAGCCTTTGTGGTCACAAACAAAAAAATCAAGAAGTATAACCTTAACCATTTTTTTGGATTCATCAACTTACCTATCTCCACTGAAGGTAGTTAGGTTGCAGAAACATCTTCTAACTCATACCTTGTTCAAGCTCAGGAGGTCTGAGAGAGAAATATCTTGTACACCAGGCTAGAGTTTTGGGAAGATAAAATAACAGATCTGAGTCTGCAAACTGGATTAAAGGAGTGAATATGGTGACCTGCATGTGGAGTTAATTCCTGGATGTTAGTTCATATATTTTTGCTGTATTATTGAAAATATATTTGATACATGTCAAATACATCTGTATACATGCTCACACAATACATTCCCTTTCAAATTTTACCAAGGTGAACAAATATATAATAATATAACAACGATATACTTTCTCCTACAATACTACAGTTAACGTGGGGACATTTGTGTTGTGTTTACTTCCCAGTCTATAAGTAGTGGGGAAAAGTCTGCTACTCAATTGAGATGCAATTTTACACGTCAGCAGCTTGCTTAATATAGTAGAAGAAGTGGTAGGTAGCACTGCCACACTACTAATTGAAGAAGGCTTAAAGTAATTGTTACATTTGATTAATAGCCACTGAAAGCCATCTGGATCCTGTACAGAAAATTAGGCCAGTGCTCTAGTTCAGAACAGCCAAGTCATTTTCAAACCGGAAATATGCACCCTACCCTCTTATCTAATTTTATCCACCCATGAATAACTTAAGTAATAAAAACTTCATTCAATATACTATATTTAAAACAGTAAACTTTTCTTTCCCTGTTAAAATAGACCTATGGACAGAATATACTCCCTTTCTCCCCTGCCCACCATGTCATAAACCATAACAAAAGCTGGATAAACCGCTAATCTGGGATTCATCTGCTGCCAGTCATATGACCAAACTCCTAGGCAGCTGGTCAATACAAACTGGATAAACCACTACTCCAGGACTCCACAGTAGCCAGTCACATGACCAAACTCCCAGGCATCTGGTCAAGCAATTTCTGCTAAAGATCAGAATCAGGCAATCTGCACTTTCAGCAGAGATCACATGGCCAAATGCTTAATCATTTGGTCATATGGCCAACCACTTCAGGATCCCAGAGCGAAAATGTCTCCAGTTGAGGTAAGGTTTATGAGTTTAAGGGAATGGTGTGGATGGGAGAGTATGAGATTTTACTATGACAATGGGTCCACTTTAAAATAGACTGTGAAGG